ATGTGTATAAGAGACAGGTGAGGGGGTGACCCGCCTTTGTACCTGCAGGTTGTCCGTCCTTTCTCGAGCTGCGTGTGGTAACACAAACGCGGAGTCCATGTCTTTTCTTGTAAGTAAACCCGAACGGATTAGGGTGAGTGTTGAACACCTTCCAGCTTCCCTCAGACGGCGGCGTGTCGGTAGAACCTGCCTTGCGCTTGTGCAGAGGAGCTGCGGCGGGGCCGGCCTCCTGGAAAGCACCTTAAAGTCACGTTGAAACCTGTGCAAGCTAAAAAAACCCCTGCGCTGCGGTATTTATTGCTTGCACACCTCTGTCTCCTTTGCGTGCGGTGCAAGGGGTTTGTAATAGGCATCGCAATTAAGAAAAAGTGCGGTAATGTTGATTTTTCCCTGCCTTTCTTCAAGAAATTACTGCTTCACCTGTGTGACGCTACTGACAGCTTCTCTTTGGATTATTTTTCTCTAAACTTCCCTTGGAAAGCTAAACACAACATCTTTGTTTAGTTCTGCATTTTTAAATGAGGAAGTTTTACGCGAGAAAACCACTTTTAATGCCTTAAAGTGGTGGTGTTGTACACGAGTTTTGAGTCATCGTCAACTTAAGACACGTTGGTGCTTTCTAGGACTGGCTTTCCTTGCATGAAACACCATAAGCTGTTTTTTAGTTATAAAATGAGTAGACAAATTCTAACATGGGGAGTGTTTGTGATTCTTTAAGCCTAACTTCATGATCCACAATCCGCAAGCCTAAAATTGCATATTTTGTTGTGTGTTATGTGTGCATGTATGTATTTTTTTTTTCTTTGAATCACAATGTGATAGAAACACAACCTAATGCTTGCTGTGAATATTGAGCATGAATTCTGGAAGAGAACAACAGCTTTAAAATATTTATGTTCTAATCTTGCATTCAGTCAATACATAGCCAAAATATTTAAGGTCTTTAAGACATCAACTCATTGTAAATAATTGAAGCTTTTTTTTTTTTTTTTTTTTTTTACACATATTACACCCAAACAAACAATTATTATTTGCCTGTATAAGGGAGTTGTAGCATGCTTATTAGTTTTCCTGTATGTGCATGTATAATTTCACTGATGATGAATGATGTTAACTTTATTGCAAGTGCATGCTGGTCAGGAAAAGCAGTAGCACCTGTGTGGTTGCTGGGTGCGTGCCACTGTAATGGCATAAGAAGAGAATATCCTTGCCCAAAGTAAGGATGTAACTGATATTTCAGACCATAGCAGAATCCTCGAAGCTTTATGATTCTGATGGGGTTTTTTCTGTGGGGGAAGGGGGAAAGAAACTTGTTTCTAGATGGAATAGCTAATTATCTCGGGATTTATTTTTTTTTCTTTCAGCGGTGGGTGTCTGAAAAGTTCATTGTTGAGGGCTTAAGAGAGTTCGAACTGTTTGGAGGTAAGTTTTCTTCTCATTAGATGACATTGTTAAAAATGTTTTAGCTGCAGGGTCTATTAATTTGATTGTAAATACATATCTTAGTAGTAAAAGAGATGAATAACTCTGGTTGTAGCATCACATCTGGCTATTCAAGGTGGCTAACCATATAAAGTTAATACGGAAGTGTCCAAGATCTTGCAATCTGGTATTTGGAGATCAGTTTCATGTTGATGGTACTGTTCTCAGACCCTGCATTCTGTATTTCTTAGCATAACCACTTTTTTTTTTCTATGCAAAAGATAAATTTGGGGTTGGGAAGGTTAACTACAATTTTCTGAGTAAAGTTGGATTTTGAAAGTCTGATAGTAGCTCCCCAGTGTGCCTGCAGGATTGCTGATTGATTTCTGTTCTGCTCTGAACATAATGAACAAAATTGCTGACTAGGATGCAGAATTCCTTCCTGATCAGTGATGGAAAGCCATGAGAGCATAGGAGAGATGTCTAGACCTTGAGCTTCTAGTTAGAGAGGAAGAATTTTCACTGTTTTAAATAAACTTTAGATAGTTTCTTCTGTATTTAAGCAAAGTAGATATGTAATTTTTGAATGTGTTTCAAGCTATCATTAAAAAAAAGTCACATTTATATTGAATATATGAGCAGTAGCACTATTTGAATCTCTTTAATTCCCATACCTGTACTACAATTTGATTAATTTTTAGTGCTACTACTTTATGTGTAAATTAAATGTCTGTGTCTAAAGGAAAATATTGTATGTATTTAGTATCAGAAAGTATCATGCAAGGTTTTTACTCAGTTTTCCAGCTATAATTTTAATGGGTATGTGTTGAACACAACATGGTGAACAATTAATTTCTTTACTCCAGAGCAGCCTCCGGGTGACTCTCGGAGAAAAGTAAGTGACTTTTGCAGGCTGTGGTGCTGTGGTTCATTGCATGGAGATTATTCCTTGTGGAAGTTTGATTTTTCTTTTTATCTTAATTATATATCTCATCTCTATATTTAGCTCTACAAGTGTGGAAACAGGTTTCACCCTGGAGTGGAGATTTTGGTGTGTGGTTTTCAAACTATACGTGACAAGTGAAAACTTTAAACTTAATCTCTTGGATTTGTATTTGTGTCGTCGTCCCTGCAGCCCCCCAAGGGTGTCTCTTTTGAGATGATTTAGATCTGATTTTTCAGAGATGCTGATTTCCTGTAACTCTTAGAATAAAAGGAAGAGGTTAGTTTATGAGACTTTGGAAAATTAGGCCCAAAAAATTTTAGGTTGGCCATTGAAAACCAGTGTTGCCTTCTGAACACGTTGATTCTGATTTTCTTTCTCTTCCATGTAGAGCAGCTACAACAGAGGCTCCAGCATCAAAACCAAACGTTGTAATTTTCAGTTTGGGGTGACTTTTACCTCCTGTTGTCTGGTCATCTTCAGAGCCAGTTCTGTGCATGCTTAGAGAGCTTTGCCTCTTAAAAACTAAAATCACTAGCAAACATGGAACGTCTGTTCAAAAACATACAGCCAGATGTGGCAGTTGGAAATTTTACCTTAATGCTTTTTGTTCTTCAGGCCCTGGTTGCACAATATCTGGTTCATAATGAACAATGCTCACAGAGTAACACAATTTACGATAGAATATATTTGTCTGAATTATTTCCCACCTACCCACACCATATTGAAACCTTTTTTTTTGTGTGTGTGTGCAGGTGTTGCTCTAGTTTAAGCTAATTAAAAACACAAATTAAGTGTGATTTGATTATAGCTGTGTCAGTTCAAGCTGCTTATAATTGATTTTTGTGCCAGTGTCTGTAATTTAGTGGCACAACCCAAACTGAAAATATGAGATGTATATGGATTGTTTTATACAGAGTCAAGTAAATTCACACCTTTTCTTAAATTGCTGAGCATTATGCATATGCTGGACTGGAGGCAAATTGAGATTAGCATCTGTTTTGGTTTTGTTAAAGTGTTCGCCTGGGGTTTGGACACTCTTGCAGTGGTATGGCTGACTCTCATTTTGATTTTTACATCTAAATAAAAGCTTGCTTTTTCCAGCAGGGCTATAGAAAAAAGTACATAATTTGGGGAGAGGGATGGGAGGAAAATTTTTGTTGCTTAAGCTGAAAGTGAGTGAGGGAACGAGGAGGTGGAGGGGAAGGCAGCAGAACAAAACCAATATTCCCTCGTCCTAACACAGATGAATGTCATTTGGCAAATGCAAATCCTTGCTAGCATCTCATAACTGATTTTTCTTATGGCAGTATTTGCCTTTCAAAGATTAATTTCCTTAAATCTATCTCAAATTAAAATCAAATCAACAGGCCAGAAAGCTAGTTCTTAATGAGTATCATGCCATAAAGCTAGTCATATGTGACTTCATTTTGCAGCTGCTTTTGCTTTTGACCATACACCAAAAGTTGTCCCGTGTGAAACCACCGAGGAGCTTTTTGCAGTATTTCATAAATGACATTTCAGTTTAACTTTTTTTTTAAAAAAAAAAAAACCCAAACTCTTGTATGATGTTGATGAATTTCTGGTAGACCACCTACTGCATTAACTCTCAGTTACTGGTCACTGCTAACATGGAGAGGTGAGTGAAGACCTCTGATGTACTGGAAGACTTTTAAAAAAGGAATTTACAGTATTTTTCCATTACTCTCGAAACAGCCTACACCATTAATAAGATTAAATTTATTTATTTATTTTGCATCTGTTTTGTTGGCTTACGCTCTATCCGGAGTGGACTTTAATAAAGCAAACCACTTACATCTTGCTCAGTGTCTCACCAGCTGCCATTGCTCCATAACGCTGCTTATCAGAGCCTCCTGCTTTCATTTCCTTGGTGGTGCCTTTCTGCTTCAGAGGTTTCCATCTGCCTGTGTGTCTCTCCTGGCAATCTCGCTGTTGACAGGACTGTGTGAAATTGCTAGATGAAGTAATGAATGCTACAATTGAGATCGGAATTGACAGGTGGCTTTAACAGAAGTTTGAAATGGTGAATGGAAAGTTGCTGCCTATTCTCAGCCAAGCAACGGCACTGTGCAGTGCTAGGACTAGAAAATAGGGATTTGGGACTGATGAGATCTCGGGGGTTAGCTATCCTGAAACAGGACAGCGTTGCTGTGCGAGAGTTGTTTGAGGTGAAATTCTACCATAGCGCTGTTAAGTCTAAAGTTTTGCTTTTTCCGTTAACCAGAAATAGACCTATTTTAAAGGTAGGCAGAGAGAGGTAAAACGTGTGCTATTCAAAGTCAGTTGAAACAGTGGAATTTGGGAAGCCTGACTATAGCTTGCTCCCAAAATATACTTAGGGATACAAAGGTAATTTATGGCAAATTCATGTCAGCGCTCGTCGCGCTACATTTACCCTGGAGTGAGTGTAGAACAGCAAGTTCCCTGGTTTTTAGCTGTCACTGTTATTTCCATCTTTCAGTGATGGAACAAAAGAATATTTGCTGTCACTCCAGAAAATGCACAAACCGTTTCTGCTTCATGTACCATGAGAAAAGGTCTGATAAAGGGCATTTGCCCTTTGATGAAGTGGATGAAGAATGAGGTGGAAAAAATGAACTGGAGTTCCAAATGTCAGGAGGAGTTAATGTGCTGGAAATTTGAGATGACTAATCTGATCTTAGACACCAGATAAATTTGGATCCCAGTTAGGATGCTCTTCCTGTGACTTTGGTTTGGAAGTTTGAGGGAGTTGGAGGGTATAATGGAACTTGCAAGAACATTGAAGTTTGTCTTCTGCAAAATTCTGCTTGGAAAAATCTAGGGGTGTGTAAATAAAGCAGGTAGCTTTATGTCAGATGTAGTGAGGAAAAGCTGACAGGCTTGGGAGTGCTGCTGCCCTGTGTGGTGTGGGTTTTTTTTTCCTTTTTTTTTTTTTTTTTTTTTTTTGCTTTTATTTGGAGCTTCTCTTTTCATCTCCATATCTTGGGCTCAGTTGGTTCATCACTTCTACCCTTCAGCTAAGCAGCTTCAGCTGTGCTGGTCTGATCACAGATGAGCAGCTGGAAGCCCGAAGGCCCAGCATCAGACAGGAATGCTGACTGCCACGGTGCAGAGAAGGGCTATAAACAAGCTTTCCTTTGATGGCCTTCTGCTCAGGCAACAGGATGGTGGCACAGAGTTTGTAATTAATGAGAGAAAGGTAGTTACTGTAAAGCAGTGCTTAAGCTGTCCTGGGGAATAGTAATTGGCTTTATCCAAATATTCCTAAAGAAATTCTCGCTTGGAGTAATTAAGAACCTGCCTGTTACAGTTACATGTTTTGAAACACAGATGTCTGGATCTTCTGAAATGAGGCATCTCCTGGATTTCAATTGATAAATAACTACTTAAAATTATTTTAACAGCAATTAAATTCTCTCTTCTATATTCAGTGCTGTCTTATTATTTTGAGGCGTATGATAATACGAGCAGCTGATTGTTCCAGCAAGTTGTCTTTATTTCTTTTGATCTAACTTTTTTTCTTTTTTTTTCCCCTCCCCCCAGACAAATGAGGCGAGCTCCGAGTCGATAGCTTCTTCCCCTAAAAGGGACACCATGAGCAACTTCCTACCAGACAGCAGCTGTTATGAGTTGCTCACTATCATAGGTAATCCTGTGAGTGGGCTGGAGGATCAGAAGTCTGCTTTGCCAAGAAAATAACTTCTAAAATCTGTTGGCCTCTTCCTGATTGCTTATTTTTGACATCAGATGCCTGTTCTCTTTGATTTTAAAATAACTGTAGTAAAAAATGAGATGCCAATCCTAAAGGCTTTCAACTGAAAGAGGCATGTGGGGGGGTTAATGATACTGAGTGGGAAGTAGAAAGTCAGCAGAAGCAGCCTGAAATCTGCCCCTGTCCTTGGTGGGGCTGTGGCCTAATCATTTTATTTCTGCTTCAGTTCTAAACTTGAAAGACAGGATGATATTGCTGGCTGGGAGAAATTCTCTCAATGGGATACATGCCAAGGAAGGTGGTATCTGATGGAATGATTACTCTTCTTCACAAGGCCAAAAATAGTTTCCGTAAATGAGTGTAAAGATTATTTAAGGGTCAAGGACTGGAGGAGTTCTCCAGGAGTGTGTGGTTCCAGAAGTATTGCTGAAGCTTTAATGTCTTTTCTTTCAGGCAGGGGCTTTGAAGACTTGATGGTTGTGAACCTGGCCAGGTATAAACCCACGGGAGAGTATGTCACAGTCAGAAGAGTGAACTTGGAGGCCTGCACAAATGAAATGGTCACATTCTTGCAGGTAACACGAATCCACTAATTCTCTAATGCAAGTTTAGGCGAGCACAGAGAGGAAGAGCAGTGATTATCAATACTGTATTTGTATTTCTGCATTTACTCAATTGAATCAAAATATCTTTTATCATTTTAGGGAGAACTCCATGTTTCCAAGCTCTTCAACCACCCTAACATCGTGCCATACAAAGCAACTTTCATAGCTGACAATGAGCTATGGGTAGTGACATCTTTCATGGCCTATGGTAGGTGGAGAGGGGAATACCTTTGTCTGACCATGATGTTCTGCGAGATGAAATTCAAGAGGTGAAATATCCTTGGCATTTTTTCTGACCAATTAAGAGGTGTTTTGTTTCTTTTTAGGTTCTGCAAAAGATTTAATTTGTACCCATTTTATGGATGGGATGAGTGAACTGGCTATTGCATATATCCTCCAAGGCGTATTGAAAGCACTCGACTACATCCACCATATGGGCTATGTACATAGGTATTTATGAAAAAAGAAAAAGAAAAAAAAACCACAACAAAAAACTGTTCAATTTTCCTTCTATTGGAAGTTCTCAGAAATACTATCATCATTAGAGCAGAGGGGATAGTTCAAGAAATACAAAACTTGATAATGTGTCCTGTATTATTACTTTGCTGTTAGAGCAAGGCAGTTAATTAATGAGAAATTATATCATTGATCTTACTAAACTGTGTGAAAGTGTCACTGTGGCACAACTCATCCCAAAGACCACTGTGTATCTAAAATCACAGCTGCAGCTCATGGTGACATGCTGACTAGTTACAGCTCTGTTCAGATACGACTGACAGGCTCCAAACTGAGGCTGACACTGGTGGTGGTGGGGATTTCCCTGTTGCTGGTCCTGGGTCCATAACCTTGAGTCCTGCATTTCTCCTTGCCACAGAAACATTCTTTGGGAACCTGCAAAGTGAGTGACCAGCATCCTGTGAGTGTTTGTAGGAGGGTTTTTGCACAGTGTTTGGGATGGTTGTTAGGAGACTGAACAAGCACTGCCCTGTGCGTATTAAAGTAGGCTTTTATCCTTCCTGTAGGTGCTCACTGAGGATTAATTTCTCTTTAGTACTACAGCTTCTCTTAATCCTTTTCTAACTCACTGTCTCTACCCTTTAGTATATTTTTCCTCCTCTCTGATACATCCCTCTGTTGTGAGAGTAAATGTCAGTTGCTGGAAGTTATTAGTGGTTACTATTTTTATTGTATGTACTGCAAAAGAAATTCAGGTTACCTACGCCTGCTGTAAATCCTTTGCAGTGCCCTTCTGCACTACATCTTCCTGGGAAAGCTGTAAGAAACATAACTCCTTTGAGGCCAGAGAACCTAACTGGTTTTACTTCTTCTTTCAGGAGTGTTAAAGCCAGCCATATCCTGATCTCTGTAGACGGGAAGGTCTACCTCTCTGGCCTGCGAAGTAATCTAAGTATGATCAACCACGGGCAGCGTCTCAAAGTTGTTCATGACTTTCCCAAATACAGCATCAAAGTCCTGCCTTGGCTCAGTCCTGAAGTCTTGCAGCAGGTGTGTTTAGAAAAACCTACTAGTTTTTTAGTGTTACAAGGTAACTACAGTTTTCTGAGTTCTTATGGCATGGGGCGGGGGGATGCAACTAAAGCCACAGGGTTACTTTTCCTGGTGATGATCTCTATTCTTTTTTTCTATCCTTTTTACCATAAAACCAGCGACCCCTAGCCAGGGGAAACCTGTATTCCTTTCAAAAGGGGCAGTTGCTGAGGAGCCCAGGTTACAATACTGTCTTTCCTTTTCCTCCAGAGGAAGGTGTGAGTGCAAGGACAAGGAAGGGGAGAAGCTAGGGGGCAGGTTTGGGGCAGACACAGGGCGAGTGGGTAGAATTTGATCTGATCTATTTGACTAAATAGTCTTCTTGTAGGTACCTCTCCATATTCTCCCATTAGGAAAGCATTACATTAGATGCCCGTTACCCTCAGGGAGCTGCCGTCCCTACCAGCTAGCTGATGTCAGTTAAATAAACGTTGCCCATAACTGCATGTTTTAACAAACAAATCACAGCCACAGTAACCAGCCTGTATGTGGGTTACACTATTTGTGCTCTAATTATTGGGTTTGCTCTTCTGCATATTGAATTCTGGGCATTGCCCATGTTCCATAACATGCAAGTCCGAGGTTAATTTTTCTTTTCATCTAGAATCTCCAGGGTTACGATGCAAAATCTGACATTTACAGTGTAGGGATAACAGCCTGCGAGCTTGCAAATGGACATGTACCATTTAAAGACATGCCTTCTACTCAGGTAAGGTTTAAAAGTTGTTCCCTTCTCATCCTTCATCCTGGGATGTGGAATGTGTGACCCATGGGTGCCATGTCTGCCTGAGTGGGAAATCTTAACCGTCTGGTCTGACTGTGTGTGATGTTGCTTATGCCCCTTCTCTTCCAGATGCTTTTGGAAAAGCTGAATGGAACCGTTCCCTGCCTGCTGGACACCACCACAATTCCTGCTGACGAGCTGACTATGAAGACCTCCCGTTCAAGTGCTAACTATGGGATGGTGGAGAGCATGGCTATCGGCAACGTGAGAGCGGCCAACGGGGAGCCAGCCCTGCACCCTTACCTTCGGACCTTCTCCACCTACTTCCATAACTTTGTAGAGCAGTGTCTCCAGCGGAACCCTGATTTCAGGTAAATCCAGGTGAAACCTGCTCTGCACAGACCTACACCACTCTAGGGCTGATTAAACTATGAGAGCCAGCAGAGGTTGGATGAAGTTTTCTTTCCAAGAGTGTAGTGGAGTGAGGATGTGCTCCATATATTGTGAGGAGCAGTCCAAGCATGTGAAACAAGAACAGTGTTCACACTTTAAGCCCTTTCTGTGAGAAAGCCTGAAGAATTACTTTGCAGCTGTCTTTGGGGGGGTAGAGTGGTGCTACATGTCAGGAAAATCAACTGAACAGTTTGAATTTCTGGCCCCTGTGAGACTGCGTTTACCCGCTTCCCATCACTGAATATCTGCTGTACAGCCAGCAGAGAATAACGATGGGGAGTGATCAAGAACTGTATTTTCCTTGTAGGGAGTGTAAGATCATCTCTAGCCATGAAAATCTTTCCTAGCATACCATGCTGTTCAGAAACTTTCCCTTGACCAAACGTTGGGGTGAGCAAGTAGGTAACTTGCGCAGAAGGAGGTTGACCTGCTCACAGAAAACATCACGTGAACGTAATAAACAGGCTGTCTGCTGCCTACAAAAGGGAGCAGGTTGCTGAGAGGGGCAGGATGGACCCTCGTCTTTTCTTTCACCACCTCTACCTGACCTTAAAACACTGCTGCATTTTCTTGTGTGCTTACTTTATTCTAACTCCCTTCTACAGGCCAAGCGCAGGCACTCTGCTTAATCATCCCTTTTTCAAGCAGGTAAGGAACTCCTTTTTAATCTGCAGATAAAGAACAGTGGCTTTTCTGTAGTTGTCTGGCTGTGTCACTGAACTTGAGGGTGGGAATTTTCTGTGGTCTGACAGGATGAAGTTAGTTTGGTGACTAATTGTCATTAGTTCTCCTGGGAGGTGGAGGGGCTGTTCTCTTTCTAAACAGAGGATCTAAAGCTGCAGGTCCTGTATGCCAGAAGTTTTTTCACTCACAGACTGGAGTACTGGGGCAAGTCGGTCCTAACCTGGTCCTTCCTGGGACCAGACTGAGGTGATGGTGAGCCCCTGCCCTGGCCTGGGGAAGGGGCAGGGACTCTCCTGGCCCTGAAATGATTTGTCTGGCTTGCTCTGAGCTGAGGGTTCAAGGGGGAGCATCAGGACCCCGGCGCTGCTCACAAAGAACTTGCTTGTTGCAAGATGCAGCGCAGAAGCCCTGCGTGTCTCGCTGCGACACCGTGTTCTTCCTTTCTGCCTGTAACCACATGTTGTTGCTGCTCGACTGTGGTGTGCAGGTGTGGGGGAGCCTTTCAGCAGCCGCATTCTCTCCTTTTGTGCAGATCAAGCGCCGCGCTTCTGAAGCACTCCCTGAACTTCTGCGCCCTGTCACCCCGATCACCAATTTTGAAGGAACGCGGCCCCAGGATCCCAGTGGCATTTTTGGGCTGGTGTCAAACCTGGAGCAGCTGGATGTGGATGACTGGGAATTCTAGAAAAATGGACTATAGCTGGTTCTGGAGGAGCTTTCTGGACATTGTAACTGATTGGTCCTGTTCATAAAAGGTGATGAATGTTACACATACAAGAGTTTACAGGTCCTTGGGAAGGAACTTCAGCTGCCTGTTTACTTCAGAAGTACCCTGGAAACAAACGGGACAGACTTGAGCTGGAAAAAGGATCAACCCCAAGGAGCTGTGGAGTGCCCAGAGCCCCAGGCCTTGCAGCTGCGCACTGGTAGATCACTCAAATGGGTCGAGTGAGTCTGTTTATTTATGTTTTTCTAAAAATCACTGGCTTCCTCGTATCACAGTTGAAGGCTGCATGTCCCTACCCTCTTTGGTTCTGTCTCTATGGGTGCCTTAGAGTGAAGGGGAGGCAGGTAGCAATCAGTTTTGGGCATTCTCGTAGAGCTAGTCAGATTGTTAGTGTTGTCACAGGGTAAGATTTGAGTGGGGGGTGGGGGTGGAAAGGGATTATGTTGTTAAATTTAGTCACTGCTTTGTGATGGGAGATGAAGACAAGCCGCTGCCGTTAGACGTTCCTATGCAGCACTGGCTGATTCCCTTCCAGTTCTGGAGAGAGCTTAGAGGAGACTTGTCTCCCTCGATGCTGAGCACTCAGCTCCAGGTCACACAGGGCCTTCCCACCTCTCCTTGGTGGTGGTCTGAGTCCCCAAAGCCACTGTGCACCCCTGCACTGTACCAGCTTTTATCCCCCACAGCACGTGCAGGTGAGCCTCCTGTTAGCTGGGCTGGTTTCACCGCATGCAGCACTCGCACCAGCTTGTTCTCAGTGACTTACCCTGGCACAGAGGAAAAATTGACTTCTGTGCTAAATCCTCTTGCTCACGACTCCTCTTTGAACATCACGAACAGAATTATTTTAAGCCTTCCTTTACTGTTGCTGTTCTGCCTTCCCTGACGACAGCAGGTAAAAGCTTCTCACACGGCTCCCCTCGACTCCCAGCTGTGTGACGCTGCTCTGGCAGCTCTCCCCCTTCCGTGGTCTCTCTGTTTTGGAGGTGTCTTTAAGGCTTTTAGTTTGACCCTTCCAAGGACCACGGTTGCTGGACGTCTTTCTACTCTTTTAACGAAGCACTGAGACTCCAGTCCTGTAGGTGTGGTTGATGGGAGTAGTGGTGCTGGCAACAGGTCCTCCTTGTGTTTATAAACTGTACTTGAACCCCGATAAAGTTTGTTACTCTAGTTTTTTGCCAAAACAAATAAAATATTTCTGAAGTTGTTGGTTTAAGTCTGCTGTTGCTGCAAGGTGATGGAGCGGATCACAACTGAAGCCACAGCCTGGCTGTGTGTGTTCTCTCCTCTCTGTTCTCAAAAGGCAGCTGCTGGCACCCTGGTGGGTGTTGGAGTGTACCCCCAAGGCAGGGGCTGTTGTACAGCTCACCCCAGCAGCCTGCAGCACTGTTCACTGTAACTGCCTTCATGTTTCAGAAGCACCTTCAACTAAAGCAGGTTAAACTACAGCTCTTGCTGTACTCTGAAAGTGTCAGTGAAATGCAGGGTGACAAGAGATGGGCCAGGCCCACTTCCTCTCTAGGATCAGGTCTGGTTCCTGATTTTATTATTATAAGTAGATCTTAATTTCTGAGCTTGTTATGAAGTCTGCAGCCTATGAAGATCCTCATCCCTCTTGTAGAATCACAGACTGGTTTGGTTGGAAGGGACCTTAATGTCCATGCAGTGCCACCCTCTGCCCTGGGCAGGGCCACCTTCCCCCAGCCCAGGCTGCCCAAAGCCCCGTCCAACCTGGCCTTGAACCCTGCCAGGGAGGGGGCAGCCACAGCTTCTCTGGGCAGCCTGTGCCAGGGCCTCACCCCCCTCACAGGGGAGAATTTCTTCCTTAGATCTCAACTGAATCTCCTCTGTCAGTTTAAGACCATTATTCCCTGCTCCTATCCCCACACCCCCCAACAAAGAGTCCCTCCCCCTTTCAGCCCTGGGAGGCCGCTCTAAGGTCCCCCTGGAGCCTTCTCTTCTCCAGCTGAACCCCCCAACTCTCTCAGCCTGTCCTCACAGGGGTGCTCCAGCCCCCTGAGCATCTCTGTGGCCTCCTCTGGCCCTGCTGGAGCAGGTCCATGTCCTTCTGCTGTTGGTGCCCCCAGAGCTGGACCCAGCCCTGCAGGGGGCTCTCACAGAGCGGAGCAGAGAGGAGAATCCCCCCCCGGCCCTGCTGCCCACCTGGTCTGGGGGCAGCCCAGCACACTGTTGCCTTTCTGGGTTGCGAGCACACATTGCTGGCTCACAGGCAGTTTTCCATCCCCTAATACCTCCAAGTCCTCCTCCTTGGGGCTGCTCTCCTCCACTCCTCACCCAGCCCTGATCTGTGCTGTGGATTGCCCCAACCCAAGGGCAGGACCTTGCCCTTGGCCTTGCTGAACTCCAGGAGGTTCACACAGCCCCATCCCCTCCAGGTCCCTCTGGCTGGCACCTCCCTTCCCTCCAGTGTGCCGGGGCTTCTCCACCAGGCCTGGACAGGGACCCAATCGCTGGCACTTGGCAAGAAAAAGCACCATGTCCTCAGAGCATAAACCCTTGGGACAGAGCAAAGAACATGCTGCAGCTGGTGCATTTGGAGGAGAAGGGTTTCCTCCCCGAAGAGGGATGATTCAGTAGCAGTTGCCCACTGACACTCCAAGCCTCTCCTGAATTCTAGGAACAGGAGAGGCTCCAGTGAGCAATGATAAATCACACATAACTGCAGTGCTCGAGCCTGCTTTCCCCTGAGTGAGCGTTTTTTAGGGTGAAGAATGAACTTAACACAAGCTAATATATTTCTCATTCCACATTTTCAGCTTGCTACATGCTCAAAGATCATGGACTTAAATTAACTTAGTGACAGTTTTATGCTTGCACAGCAGCAGGAAGCAAGCAGGATCAGAGTTAGTGAAACAGCAGCACCTTGGGTCAAAAAAAGAAGTTCTGAAGTAACCAAAGGCAGAGCCCTCCCCCGGCACACTGTGGGCAGCAGGCAGCAGTACTCTGGAGTCTGACCTTACCTGTTCCATCTTGTGCCTCCACAGAGCAGCACAGGAGGAGTCTGGCAGTCGGGACACCTTGCTGGATACACACACACTTGCCTACAGCTGCTGGCCCCAAGGTAACAGCTGGGAGCATTATTTTTCCCCTCCATGAAAGCTTTATTCAGCTAGATACAAAAAACAGGGTGCTCTGCTATTGTGGATCCCCTCCGTGGTCTGAATGCTGCTGCTCTTCCTCCTCCTCTTCTTCCCCTTTGTGTTTTTCCAATTTTGCCATGAGCTCTGAAAAACAGGAAAAGGCAGGATGAGACTCTGGGTGCAGGGGCTGTCCCGCACCAAAGCCCGGTGCCCAGGTCGTGTACAACCCATCTCTGAAGAACCAGAGATCACCCACTGACACAAGGGCTCAGCGAGGAGCCACCATCGCTGCCTGAGGCCAGGATCAGGTGTTCCAGTCAGACTCCACCAGTGCAGGAGGGAGCTGCCAACTGCAGCGACAGGCAAGCTGCTGCCTCGGCTCCCGCGGCGCAGCCCCCCACCCTCACCTCAGTCACACTCCCTGAGTTCCCCACCTGGCAGACACAGACACTCCCTTCGGACCCACGGAGCCACCCAGGCTGTGATTTACCATCTCCTGGCACTACTGCTGGCAGCCGAGAGCTCTGAGCTCCAGCTCTGGGCCAGGCCCGACACAGGGAGACACCCCTGGAGCTGGTGCCTTCGCTGCTCCAGACGCGGCCACCGCCAGCCCTCGCTCCCGCCGGTGCCGTTACCTTTCGCTGGGTTGAAGACTCCATTGGTTTGCTTGTCACAGACGTAGCAGCGCTGGGATTTGCGGTAGTGTTGGAGGGCACAACTCTCACAGAAGTAGTGCCTACACCTGTACGGAGACACATGTCACCGCAAGTCACCGGATACTCCCACTGTGCCCAGGAGTCAGAAATTATTGACTGCTGGTCCCGGGGGGATGCAGAAGTGAGCTGCATGCAGAGCTTCCTCCGCATTGTTGTCCCCACGAGTGTTTCAGCTTTGCTTCACTGCTGTGAGGCGACGGCACAGAGCCACCAGCGAGCTCTTCCACACACCAGGTACCCAGCCAGGGTGGGAGAGACCTGGCCGTGCATGATGCCCACGCTGCCCCCCCTGCTGCCTCCTCATCCTTGCCAAGCTCTTGGCTTCCCCATCCTTGTTTCTCTGCTCACGCAATGCTGTGTGCCACTTAGCGTCCAGGAGGGATGAAGGGATGAAAACAAAATCTCAAGGTTAAGGGGAAAGATGATGTCATGAGGCAGCATCTGTGGAAATCTAAAAGGTATCTGGACAACAAAAGCTTGAGATCCCCGCCGAGGAGATGCTCCAGATGCAGCTGAGAGGCTGCCCAGTTATCAGAGGATTCCCCCACCCACCAGAAAGCTGTGGCAGACAAGAAGCAGGAGCAGGTTTCACCCACCAGCCTGTGGGCAGCGTTCGTGTTTGCCTCGACAGCGAATGTACTAGTGAACTGGAGCGACAGCAGACGCTTGGCTCCTCGTGCCAGAACAGCCACTTACTTGGTGACCACGGGGTTCTTGAAGGAACTTCTGCAGATGAAGCATTTGAAAGGCATATCCTCCTCGTCGCTGCTCACCTCATAGTTCTCCTCATCTGCAGAAGAGAAAGGTAACCAGACTGGAGCAAGAGCAGAGGCAGCCAGACCAGCCCATGCGTGGGGCGTGAAATGTTAAATAATGGAGAAAGCACAGCAGGTGGGATTAAATCTCTACTGGAAACAATAGAGCTCTGGCACCTGGGTGTTGCTGATGCCAATAGCACATGTGGGACTGAGATATAATTAGGTCTAATGCACCGGCATGTTCGCTGCTCATCTCAGAAGAGCAAATTCTTTTCTACCTCACCCACTCACTGCTATAAAGAGACATATTCTCCAGCCCCCACCTATTTTTTTAAGATTTCCTTCCAAACCAGCTGCCAGCAAACTCTTTGGCTCCAACTGAACAGAGAACACCATCTTCCCTCAACTGCACAGTGGTTTGTGAGCAACACTGAGGAGCCTGAGGCCACAGCTACAGACACAGCAAGTGAGAAATAATGATGTGACACAGCATGAAAACATCCCACCCCCTGGGCACCTGGGGGGCAGAGGGTCCCACCTCCCCCAGCTCCACACAGCTGGCTGCTGGGACCCACACAACAGCAGTGAGAGACTTTAACAGAGCCAGAGGAATTCGTTCTCTCTGGTGGCAGTCAGTCGTTACCTGAAAGCAGCAGATTTGCTCAGCACTGTCAGTGGCTACTGGCACTGAGGTTATCCTGCAGCAGAGAGTTCCACAGCTTTGGAATAAAGACTCCTTCCTGTCTAATATTAATTCAACCCATGGCCCATGCAGTTTGAGACAGCAGAGGACCCATTTCATTCTTGGTTATCCAATATCCTTAAGTCACGTTCACTTTAGGGCATGGCAAAGGCAGGACCTGTAGCCTCACCCACCCGCAGGTTAGGCAGAGGGAGCAGAGGTGGTGCCGTACCATTGACTCCGTACCGGCCTTCATCCAGTTCCCGTTCGATCTGCCAGCCGTGTTTGTAGTCCGAGCGGTCATGGAGGAATTTGCAGCTGTCTGAGGAGTACAAAGAAAAAGGAATTAACAGCTAGGCTGTGCGGGTTAGCGTTATCAGGACGCCTCACTCAGGGCAGCCTGAGCTTTGCCCAGCAGAAGCTGAAACCCGACTGCTTCCTGTCCGCCCGTGCCCCAGGGCAGCGCCGAGCTCTGGGTGCGGGACCCCCGCAGGGCTGACAGCCAGGAGGATCGTGCTCTGTGCACCACAGCGACAGCTCCAGCATTCACACACACGGGACGTGGGGTGAGGAACAGAAATCCCATCCCTCATGTGCCCCCCGGGGCCAGAGTATCTGTGGGAATGGGGGACCCTCCCAGGACTCTTACAACCACTGATCAGAGGCCATCAGCCTTCAGGAGGGCTGACACAAATGACAGGAATGTTACAAAAACCCAACGTTGCAACAGCCTCACACACCAGCTCTGCAAACTAGTGCCTGTAAAGCAGTAAGTGCACATCTCAGCACCACAAACTGGGGATCACGAGCTGCGCTGGATCCCTTTGCAGATCTGGCACAACACGTGTTCAGCTGCAGGCCAGATCCACTCACCTCCAAAGCCACAGAACCCAGTTTCTTTGTAGTCCTTGCAGATGTCGGGCTGGTAGTCCCATCGCACGGTGGCCCGCAAGTGCTCCGGAGCGCGGATGGGTCCTTTTCTGAAAGGGTGGGAGAAGGCTCAGGCCGGCTGTGCAGCTGCAGGGGAGAAGGCCCCTGGGGGCCTGGTCAGAACCAGACACCAGACTCATTAGAGAGAAGGAAACTGGAAGCAACAGCAAAGTTCAAGCCCCAAGCAGATGCCTTTGGGGATGGTGCTTGAGCTCTTCTGTGGTCCCAGTCCTCCGAGGTTCATCCCAACCTACCTGACCATTCCTGAAGAAGCATTTCCCATCGATGTGTCCTTGGGCTTCACATACTTCTGGTAGTTGTTAATACCACGGTAAATTTTATCATCTTCCTTTCCTCTCAGTTCCTGGGAAAGCAAAAAGAAAGGTGATTAAGGATCGGGAAAGCTTCATGACACCATTAGCTTTCACCACTCTGACACCAGTCTTCCTCCCTAGCCCTGCCTTCCTTAATACCAAGATGTCAATAAAGCCAGAAAATCCCCCTCTTTTTCAGCATTAAATTCTTGACTTCTCAAATTTCCAGTGATGAAGAGTCAAACTCTTCCTGGTATGCAGAAGAGGATGAGTAAAGCACATGTACTCCTGCTACAGAGCACTTACAGAGCAAGGCTGACTCACCTCCTGGATTTTCTGGCTGCGCTCAAAGATGGCCTGGGCATCTTTCTCCTTCTCCGTGTCCAGTTCATACACTGCTGTGGCTCCCATGTCTTCTGGGCCAACAGGTTTCTGAAAAGCAAGAACTTGTGACAACAGTGAAGAAAAATCCTGTACAAGACAGAGAGCTCCTTGGCTACCTGAAGGGTTGGTCACAGAACAAGTACTGGACATGGCCTCCTTTACCTTCCACCGGTTTCTACTGTCCCTTAGCGCCTCCCAAGGATAACCCCCCATGGTGCTGAGAGGCCAGAGTGCTGATTACCCACTGCTGCCAAGTTTTAGCCTGCAGAGCCAGGAAACACTTGTCCTTACTTTATTCCTTCATGCTCAGCTGGAAGCTGAACTCAGGTCTCCCATGTCCAACACTTTAATCATGAGAGCATCCCGCCTACACGCAGGATGTTATGTCTGAACTTTTAACCCAGCTGTGGGTGGCTTACATTCAGTTTTAATACAATGATCTGGTTTAGATTCCTCTTTAATTGTCTGAGCAGACACCTATTCCTAGGTTTTATCAGATCTTCAGGAACAGTTGCACAGAAACCAAAGAATAATTACAGCCAGCCCCAATTAAAACCAAATCCAATTTAGGTTCCGAAAACTTTTGGAGGCCCAAAGCTGTCATCTCGTTCCCTTCCCATTCTGCTCCAGCAAGGAGGGCCGCTGCCCCCCTTGGCAGCAGGCAAAGTGGTCAATAATTACAGCATGAGGTTATATCTGTATCAACCTCTAATGTGCCAGGGAGACCTCAGCCTGACCCTGCAGCTCTGACTGGGGACAGTTAGGCATTATTCCCATTTTATACAGAGACACAGACAATAAGGAAATAGGTCTGAAGAGGAACATGTGTTGATACCTGCTTTTAATCCTACTTATATCCTGCCCAGGCTCATACTATTGGGCAAAACTTCACTGGATCAAATGGAAAGTTAAGAGAAAAATCTAGTGGGAAGAGCGATTTGAGCTGTGCCCAAACCTTCACAGCTGATTTCTCCCCACTCCAGATGTTAACAGGACAACCCACTCATCAGTCCCAAAAAAACAATGACCTTGCTCTGTAGCTCCTACTCCATCACTAATCACAAGGATAAAGATGGGAGCACCTTCTAAATCACCTTGAATTCTTTGTGAAGAAAGATGGTCTAAAACCAGAAACACGAACCCAACAGTAAGGCAAACCTGATCCAAGTGCTCCCTCTCCTGAAAATCTCGAGTGATGTTGGGCAAGTCCAGTGGAATATTACGGTTTTAATTCCACCTCTAGGAGGGAAAGGCCAACCTTAGGTGGCCTCTATCAGGAGAATAAACCTAGCACACCTGCTTGTCTTTTAGGAGGGAAGGGACAGGGAGGTGCATCTATAGATAAAAATGGAGGAATGGCTGATCCTACATTCGCAGAGGCAAACTCCCTCTATCAAGTGTGGGATCTGCTAGTCCCCCGCCCACCCTCACACCCCAGAACCATTCTTGCCCAGGTCTTACCGCCGACCTTGTTGATTTGTAAGTGACTCTGATGTCCTTTGATGGATCCTCATCGTCACTGCTGCTCAGCGCGTATGCGGGTCTCTCCTTCGCGCATCTCCTGGTCTGAGGGGAAGTCAGCGGGTTCGAAGGACGGAAGGTTCCAACGCTCTGCCCTCGGGCGGAGCAGCGCCCTGCTGTGGCTGCCTTACCTTCTGGATCATGGGGTTGGGGGTCTCCCGCCGCCGCTCCTTCCGCACCACCGTGCTGCCCTCCTCACCGCTGCTCTCTGAGGGGGAAAGCCCAGGGTAAAGGTGCGCCCTCGGCCCAAGTGCGGGCTCTGCTGGCAGCCTCCCCCCTCTGCGGGCCGGGGGAGGCGCGGGAGGCCGGCGGGGACACGACCCCCTTCACCCCCTCCTCCACACGGCCACGGCCGGGGAGGGCAGCGGGGCCCCTCCGTGTGCGGGCAGCGCCCCGGGGTGGCA